AACATGGAAATAATACAATCGGGCGCGCTCATGCCGACTAAATACCCCCGTGGGTCCTATATACGCGGCGTACTCGGTAGATCTTGATTTTCCCACCCGCCGGTATATCATTAGCGCGTTATCGTTCAACGCGGAGAATGATCAATTAGCGGACACATACGTGTGCATATGAGTAACGTTTGTGGTCGATAGTTTATTAGATATACGCATAATTCGGTTTGCTCAATTATCGTAACAGCGCAACGGCCCTTGGCCGCCAGGGTGCGGCTAAAAATCGTTTGACACGTCGGCATGAATATTCGCTGTATTTACGAGTCTGAAGGTCTATCCTCCGAGGACCTATTTAACATTTGTGAAATCATGCGATATGTTAATATATATATATAGGAGAGAATCGACAGATGTCTGACGTAATAAATATCGTGTATCGCAACATTCTTTGTATATTATAATAATAATCTTTATTAACCGGAGATATCCCTTTAGTATACACTAAATCTGTTAATAATGCCGCAAATTAAACAGACGGTAAAAGTATAGATAATAATATAATAGAACAGAATATATAGACAATTAGTCGCTATCTAATATCGTACGTAATAGTTGCACTTAAAAATGTTTGATGGTGATCCATGAAAGTAGTCAATAAAAATCATAAATGAAAATTCGTCACTTTATATATTTGTATCCAAATAAGTAACTGTGATCAACTGCCTGAAATTAATGTACACAATACCTGCTTGCAGGGGAGGAGGAGATTTTCAATAGCAGATGTTAGAGAGTTATTATAAATTAATAGAGTAGTTGCAGTAGAGCGCGACCTTGCCCGAAACTATGCTGTTCATTAATTACAATGTTCTCAACGAAAAGTTAAGCTTTCTCACAACTACGATATTATATACGATATAATTAGATAGCGATTAATTTCCTATATATTCCCTACTATTATATTATTATCTATAATTTTATTGTCCGTCTAATATGCGGCAATATTTTTTTGGTTTTTGTACATAGTAAAAGAGCATAAAGAGTCAAGTTTTTTGCAGCAATGCTTTTACAAATTTTCGCCATTATGTTTTATTTACATATCGGTTTGTAATTTCTGACTCAATATGTATCATCATTACTCTTAAACGGTGGACGTAATAAAGACTTTGCTTCTATATAGTTGAAAACACTCCATTTTTTAGTGACTTGTTCAATATAAGCCATAGCATATTTCTCCAATCAAAGGTTCATTTCTTTTAAATATCTGTACCGCCTAGATACATTCAGATCAACACCGAATACTCTCGCCATAATACTTTATGTTAATCATATTCAAACGCTATATTCAATTCATAGAACCGACCATTCGATGAAATTACTCGTCCAATGTCTAATTGTTTGGAGCAGCATATTAAGTTGATATTCACATTCCGTCATTATTTGACAAATAATCATAGCTTCATGAATCTCTGATCATTCGACAACGTGTTTCATACAAGAACTGTTGAATCAAACGGTTGAATAACAGTCGATTAATATGAATTTCTAATTCGACTGTAATCTCGATCGAAGATTATAAATAATTCACAACTCTGAATATATCGATCATAGATCGTGAGATGCGCGTGTGCGTCGGCAACATGATCGTTCGATTTTTCCGCGCGTATCTCTGCATTCGCGCGAGTCCGTCTGGGTGGACGAACCTAAATGCAGGCACGGCCATGCGGCGTTTCTCGCGCACGTAATGAGGCTGTATGCATGCCCGAAGAGGGGGACGGACGCGGCCGACGCCACAGGCCGCTGTTTACAGCGACGATTATTCATTCACTCAATAATTCATAATTCGCCCGCCCGTCAGCCTGTGATACACCGCGAGTGACAGCGGAGAGCGGGGCGCGCCCGGCTCGCACCGCGGTAGAGCGCGCAGACGGGGTACCCGGTATATAATTCAGATGATTTAAAGCGGGCGATAATACGGCGTCACAGCTAACCAAATTGATTCAACGGCGGAGTTCGCGTAATTGCGCGCATGGAGTAACCGCAATGTAAATGCGATCGGGTCGCGCGCCCAGTCCGTCCTCCGCATTATTTCGCTGAAACTGTCTTCGACGTGCCGCGTCAACGGTATTAGTGTTTCGCTAATTATACGCCGTGTCTCCGACGGTCTCTCTCGCCTGCCGTGTCAGATTTTAACGATGTATTCTTCCACCCTCCTTATCGCCGAGGCGCGTAATCTCATTAGCCGAGTTTGCGCTCGCCGTAGATTTCATCTCGCGTGTATAATCTCCCCACTCGCGTCGTCACTTCACATATACGTCGGTGTACACGAGGATACTGTTTATTGAAAAAATTCAGAATATAAACCGCTTCCTCGGGGTATATAAGAGGCAATGAGAATTTTATTCCGAACCAAGCGTAAAGCGAGAGACACGATTCGATCTAACGCAAGAAATTTTAACACGCGTTTCTTCGCTTCTCACGTCATTAAACAAGAACAGTCACGGTGACTATTCCGGAGTCTTAATTCATTTAAAGATAGGTACCTGCAAAATCGATTTTTCCTGCCGATGGAAAGTGGATACACTAATGTCGAAAGTATCGATCGTCGAAGTTTGATGAGGCGGTGATGATGATACCTTGAGAAATGTGAGATACCTTGTACGGACAAGCTTAACCGACGAAAGCGTCGCTCGTCTATCTATCGGCGCTATCTATCGACAAGTTTGAAGCAATGACATCCGAGAAGCGCACGGTCTTGTATATATGCATACACTGAACGAATTTATAGGGCACCGCGTATAGACACGATAGCCGGGAAAAATGCGCGATGCTCTTATCGGCTTTTATGGAGTAGATAGAGGGAAATTTGTCGAACCGATGTCCCACGAGAATAAGATGCACGAGATGATATCCCGGATAAAGTCCGCTCAGCCTGTTGAGGATGGCATCAACGACTCCGTATCGTGGCTCAGAAATCGCGAGGAGCGCCCTGTTTTCAAAACGGTCGATCCGGAAGTCAGATAATGCACGTCGCTGGATGCAATTGACTCGTTCGATTCTCGCCCGCTATGGAGCGATTCCAACGCGAACGTCGCAAGATCAATGAAACGCGTGTTTACATAAAAATTGAACGTACACCAGTGCCGAGAACGGGAGAGTTTCAAAAGACGATAGTCATGTACGGAAAGTTTTCCCGGACACGAATCCTGTTTTACGACGGTCAAAACGATCAAAACATTCGCGTCTGACTTGCCATCATATTGCGGAATCTCACGCTTCATATCGCGCCCGTCGTTAATGCAGATTACTCCTCAGATATCTTATATTGGCGACAGGTAATTCTGTACCGACTACTAATGAAGCCCGGGGAAAACTTTGACATTACCGACTATCTTCGCGATCTTTAGTACCTCAATATGCCGTTGTCGCTAGCTACGATAATCACACTTGCAGAAAATGAAGATTTCATCGTCAATATAAGCTGCGCTCGATTCGGCAAATTAGAGATATCAGTTTGCTCTTAAGATTTATAATTAAAAAAAAAACTGCTTCTTTCAATTCTTCCATAGAAAAAACAAAAAATTCCTTGGAAAAAATGGAAAAAAAACCTTGTTTACATTTCTTGTGGAAAGAAAACGGGAAGAACTACGGATTTCTTTCGAGCTTTTACAAAACTATGTTAAGATTATCTTAATATCTAACCAGTGAAACGATTTTCCTGGAGTAACCAGGACCAAACCGATGTCTCCGATTTACAAAATTGAACACAGCTCTAATAAAAGTCGCAAGCAACTTCTACGTATGTTCTCTAACATGAATCGCAACTTCTGTTTTTACTTGATGATTCTTTTGACGAAATGCTCGATCGTACTGCCATGGCGAATAAAACTTCTTGTTGTCGTAATTTAGTAAACGAGCGATGTACTGTTTGGAATTTTTGAGGTTCTGTTTTATGAGACACTCTCGATTGTTCATCGATACTCTGTCATAACGAACGCACGATACTTATTTTCGGCACTTCCGACGACGATACTTCGCATGCACGTCTTCTTTACCAGGTCGAGATCGTTAGGACTAAATCGACAAATCGTTCTGCTTGCCCTTAACGAACGATTTGAATCTCGAGTCGCCATCTCGTGACGAATACACGACGTTTTTCTCGGCACTCCCGACAAACCGTTTCGCGAGATATTCATTTTGACCGTTTAACGATCATTTGTCTCGACGAGCACGTAAAGTTTACTTCCAATACTGCAGGCGACGATACCTTGGGCACGAGACTTTTTCGACCGATTGAAACCATAAAGAACAGCGACTTGAACCTCGAACCGCCATTTCGTAACGGATGCTCGTCGCGTCCGACAATCCGTATCGCGAGGTGTTCTTACCCGACGGTTATTTAGCAATATTTCATCACGACGAACGTGCTGGACTTATTTTCAGGCTTCCTAGCAATAACTTGAGCGTAAATATCACTGTCGAAATCGCGAGAAATACGAAAAGGCTACTCGAACCCGATCTGCTGTGTCTCGATTTATCTCGCAAAGGAACTTGAGTTTCTCGAAATGCGATACGCAAGATACTTCGCTCGTCACTCCCGAGTAACTGTTGCGAGTGGTCAATTCGGAGACAATTTGCCTCTGTAAACATACAAAGCATATTTTTAACGATGACTTTTCACGTGTGGACAGGCTGAAATTACGAAAATAACTTGCAAAAGTAGCGCCATAATTCGTCCCGTAGCTAACCAATTGCGAATTGCGATATATCGATATGACGGACGCAGCACGCGTGCGCGAATTGCGATAATTTATCTGTTCGTTGAAAATCGTTCAGTATAAAGCATACAAAGCGTTCGAGTCTGATCCAAAATCCAATTGATTATTTGATTAAAAGACAGTGCACTTCTGGTGCACATCTCGATTGTTATCTCGGAATTATTCGCTTGAAAAATCCATCGCGACGCGGCCGTGACGTCATGTTTTTGTGCCACACCCGCACCATCTGTGAGAGCAATCCGTCAGTCGCGAACCCGGTGGTCAACACCCTTTCCGACATTTCCGTCTCCGTAACTTCGCAAGAGCGACCATTGGCAGCACTGACGATGCTCCTTTCCAGATGGTTTCTCCAGTGACTAATTCGCGACGGAGCGGATCACGTAGGAGAGGAGTGTTTTAATTGTCGGGTGTAATTCGTTCAGATGAGTCTTTGAGTGACGGTAAGTGTGCGAACGGCCGCGGGTGATGCATCGTCCGCGTCGTTAAGCCGCTTCTCTCCGTCTCCTCCTCTCGGCCGCGTTGCATCTCGAGAGCATGCACTGTTTACTTCGAAATACAACGACACGCATAGCGCATCGATGACGCGGGTGCTCCTCGTAAAAATACTTTGTTGAGGAATTCTTCTTGGCGCCTGTCGACAGCAATTGTCCGGGTGCTAAGTGCACTCTCAGTCATCCCGCGATTACGATCAATCTGTTACGTGTCTACCCACGTAGTACGTATGTGGGCTTGTCGTTGGTATTGTGAATGTGCTTGTGTGTGTGTACACACAACAACCACTTATTTATGTCACTTTTTTCAGTTGTCAATACGCGCCCGATAGCGTTGCCCTCGAATTTGCGAGTGATCAAGGTGGTTTGTGTGTATACTGACGATTGATCATCCCAGTGAGTCCATTAGAAGTGTATGTAATAATTGCGAATGACTAATTCAGAAAAAAAGAGAGAGAATATAGTGTGTGTGTGTGTGTGTGTGTGAGAGAGATTATACAATAATTACCAATTAGAGCTTCTAAACGTATGATGAATTGTATCTTGTATTTTAAAAGTTGTGCTTTACAGCAAAGTCAGATGAAGTTGATTCTAATAACAAATTAAGCTGTTTGATTTGCATAAAATATAAATTACTTTTTTTGTTAACAACAAATTATGTTTAAAAAAAAAATTAATTAGTTTCCTCGATAAGATTATCATCAATTTTACACTTCTCTCCTTTTTACAGATAATTAACAGAACTTTCTGAGAGGAACAACAAAAGTTGTAGTTTGCATTAAGACACCGCATCATGACAGAATATAAGCTTGTAGTAGTTGGTGCTGGAGGTGTTGGAAAGTCAGCTCTTACCATTCAACTGATACAGAATCACTTTGTCGATGAATATGACCCTACTATAGAAGATTCATATAGAAAACAAGTAAGAAGATAGTAATTTATTTTCTATCATAATTTCACGGTAATTTATTTTTTATCATGGTAATTTTCAGTAATTTATGAAATGTAATTTTATATAAAAATATCCAAATTAACATTTTAACAATAGATAAAAATTAAAATTAAATTGATTTAATGTCGCATAAAATCTAAAATTAAATTGATTTAATGTCGCATAATCTCATTTTGCTCCATCAAATGCACCAATACCATTGTTAAACAGGTGGTGATCGATGGTGAAACGTGCCTTCTAGATATATTGGACACAGCAGGACAAGAGGAATATAGTGCAATGAGAGATCAGTACATGAGAACAGGAGAAGGATTCTTGTTAGTATTTGCCGTAAACTCAGCTAAAAGTTTTGAGGTAATCGTGTTATATGAACCATCTCCATTTGATTCATATTTTCATATGACGCCTATATCATATTCTTAATATTGTAGGATATTAGTACATATAGAGAACAAATAAAACGAGTAAAAGATGCAGAAGAAGTACCAATGGTGTTAGTTGGCAATAAGTGCGATCTTCAGCAATCTTGGGCGGTAAACATGACTCAAGCGAGAGAAGTCGCGCGGCAGTATGGTGTGCCATTTGTAGAAACCTCAGCAAAAACAAGAATGGGTGTAGATGATGCTTTTTATACTTTGGTAAATATAAATAGCAATAACTTGATTATGTTATAAATCCTAGGACAATAGAGAATAACATTAATATGTAATTTTCTATGCATTAAAACAGAGAGAGTTACTATGTGATATTAAGTTCTATAGCTATATTTCTATGCATTAAGACAGAGAGAGTTACTATGTGATATTAAGTTCTACAGCTATATTTCAAATGCATTTGCAAAAGATCTAAGTGACAATGTTCTACCATACATTTTAGGTCAGAGAAATACGGAAAGACAAAGAACTTAGAGGTAAAGAGAAGAAAAAACGTAACAAAGTCGGTAATTCCGGACGCAGGAGACATCGATGCTGTCTTTTATAAATCTTTGGATAACACCAATACACTTTCACTCGACTACATATTACAACGCAGGAGTAGAATATGAAAAGCCTTACATTATGTTCACAGTGCACAAATATTTGCAGCTTATTCTATAGAATATTGTAATAAATTACTAGCACAATTTTTTCTATACATTGAGAGGCAAGAACAAATTACCTAATAGTACTGTATAATATTACATACGTTTTTACTAATGGATTTATGTTTCGTAAGAAATGTTTACCCGGCAGTTTGCCATACGTTTCGTAATATTCCATTAAACCGAAGTGTCTTAACCCTTGATTGACTGGAAGAGTGATAACTATTTTCTTCATTACATAGTAATGATGTTGGCACAAAAAGAAAAAAAGACATTGAATTTCATATGTATGTTTATAGAGTCGAAACTAGAATTCTAATTCGCAAATTCACGCAGATTCATATTGGTCAATGTTAATTATGTCATTTATACAGGGGGATTATAAATATTTGCTACAGAATATACAGGCCAATGATGAAGAAGAAGAAGGATCCATATGAAATATGGCATGTATGTACTACACGAGTTTATTTTTCATAATTATATTGTAAACATTTAGTTGATATATACTATTAATCTCTATTAATCTCTCATTCGTTGCGCGCTAATGAATTTTAATCAAACAGCAATATTATAAATACATTATTAAAAAATAAATCTAATCAATGTACGGATTGTTTAATAACTTATGAATTAAGTTTTGATCATTGCCATTTTTAGTACTCTGAATATTATATACTGAAAAAATAAGACTTTTCACCATTTTCTCAAGAAAAAAGCTCTGAGTCACACAAAATAAATATCACAAACTTAATTCATTATGTGCTGTGATTAGATACTTTTAAGTACATGCCAGATTAGTTAAGTGTTACTGTGATTAAGTCTGCAATTTTGAAGTAAGACCTTATTTCGTAATATAGGAACGTATAAATGTACTCTATCTTACAAGGAAACATATAAAAGTGTCTTTCATTAATTTTAATAGGTTTTAGATATGTTGAAAAATAATTGAAAATAGAGAAATTTAATCTAGGAAATAGAGAAATAAGAAACTTTTTCTATGTACTTTCTCGTATGTTTGAAACAATCTGCCGCAAGTAATTCGATAAATTTGTTTGTTAGCGAATATCTGTGGAACCTTGAAGTATACCAAAAAGTATATAAAAAAATATCATATACAAGATTTTTCTTGATATTTGAGAATTGATAAGAGACACTTCTATAATGTTATCCTGTGAAAAACAAGAATACTCTTGTTATTAGTACAATTTGGAAAAGATACGAATCAAGTAACGAATATTGTATAATTATATCAAAATAAATTCGCATGGCGATTGTTAAATTTGAGGAGAGGATATATCGCTTTCTTGTATTAATTTTTCATGCTACCTACATATTATTAACCAAAGGCTTAATATTCAACTATAACGTATGTTTATTCTCCTATAAATGGCGAATTTATTACAAGAAAGCTGTATTTCTGCTAATGTATGCTTATACATTTATTTTTCTCTATAGTTACATAGGAATCTAAGTATATACTTAAAATTACTATCTTCTAAACTTTAAGAAGAAACGTAAGAGAAATTGCTGTCAACAGAGTTGATATAGTTTCAAAGTTGATATAGCAGACTTACGTTTCTGCTTTACTAATAATTTGCTATAATATAGCATATATAGCACATCATAGTTAATTATATATATATAAAGGACATTCACCAAAAGAAATAAAAAATAAGGTAAAACCAAAAATGATAGATACTAACAAACCTCCACTAGCAAACGATGACTTTCAGCAGGAAATTTCTTGAGATGAAAGCAGAAAAGTAATGCTTCCGGTAACCGCTCTTGTTTTGGTATAAAACCCGACATCTTCAATGTAATAAAAACCAGCGTGCGCACCACAAGACATATGAGAGAAAGGTCACCATGTATGATATACAGGCAATAAGACTGAAGAGAGAGATAGCGGAGACTGCGACTGCTTTCTTTTTGAATGCCTCCAGAATTCTCCAGATATGAGAAGGATTCATCTGTGAAGAGAGCGTATGGCAAAAATGACGAAAGCTATCACGTTTGATAATATTAAGTTCCTTTTTAACAGATTTTGAGATGAGTTGAAATTCGTTACAATTATCCAAACTAGGAGAATTTTTGAATTTATGAAAATATTCTCTTTTTTTTGGCTATTAGAGATGAACATTTGTTATTCCACCAGTAAGTGGAATTTTGATTTTTAAAGAAATTATTTTTATGAATGAAGTCACAGTCAAAAATCGTATGTAAAATGTTATTAATGAACGAATAGTAATTTTGAATATCTGAAGAAGAACAATTAAAGACAAGAGAATTAGATACCTCCAAAGAAATTCTAAATTTCGACCAATCAAATTTACCAACGACTAGTGATAGTCTACAAGAAACATTAAAAGAAGAATCATTAGAAAAAGAGATAAAAATAGGATAGTGATCACTATCATAATTATAATCGAAAACTTTCAACATTAGAACATTAGAAACAGCCTGAGAATAGCTAAAAGGTTTAGAAAAAGAAGATATGAATTCACCGAAGATGGGCAAAGGAAATTTCTTGGTAACGCTGGTGGTGTTTTATATTCCATTTAGCTTGCTGTAGGATGTAACATCGCTTAGACTAAGGGTCATAATAGCCATGGCCATTTAACACTCTTGTGAAATAAAAAAACTGGACAATTCCTGCTAGACGCCCGGTGAACCACTTCATAATGGCCCTCCCTAACATATTAAGGAACATCAGCAGCGTAGCTTCTCACGGAATGTTCGCCACGTCCGCAAAATTCACATATAGATTTTTCGAAATTGCTTTTGCAGAGCCGTTTGAAGTGGCGAAATCTTTGACAATAAGTCCATCTTTGGATTTATTGGACATAAGGTAAAAAGTAAATGTTTTTACCAAGGAAGACCGCCCCTTCAGGGATTCCTGTAATTAAAGTCCAAGTCCATTTCCTTATCCTTTTCCATGATCAAAAGCAGCTTTCGACCCACCGCAATACTTATTCGAGGCAGAGATGGATAGGCCAACAATTTTAATTGGAAATATTCAAGAAATACTGTACGACGGTTGCGACTAGAAACTTTCAAATCCAGAAGCAGCGACCATGCGCGAAAACACGTCTGCACTTCAAGAGAAACACAAGTCCCCAACAAGCACAGCAATACGAACTAAACTATAAATTACTAAACCAAGACCAACTAAACAACCTCTTAATAGTTGTTAAAACAGCTGTTTTCTGTTTTGTTTATCGATCAACTCGAGTTTGACATATAACCACAGAATAATTCAGTAAAGACATAGACCAGCCCCCTAACACTTATTTTATGTTATTCGAGGATACTTAATGACCGGTATTCATAGTCGAATCTTACATACAAGACCGTTTTAAGTTTATCTTCCAATATTGGATAACTGATTTCATTGGTTACGAAGCATCTGAAGATGAACTTAAGACGGTCTCAAATATAAGATCCGACTATGAATACCGGCCAATGACCACGAACCACCAGATGGCGTCAGTGACATTCGTACTTGTTTATATATATAATTGTTTTTTAAAGCAACATACAAAAGTATACAAAGTTAATAATGTATTTTTTGGCTTGCATTAAATCAAAGCATTTCACTGATTAGTAAACTGTTAAAAATTTACTATATATTACCATAATTTTTATTTACATCGAAATCTCTGTGAATGTAAAATTGACTAAACCAGGGGCTCCAAATGGACTTGCTACGACTAGAAGCGCATCAGCGACGTGAACGTCGCCGCGACCGGTGAGATATATTCAGCACTCAGTTCTTCGTGATCGCTCGATCGAAAAGGATCCAGGTGGTCATTCGTCGAGTCGTTCGATCGTGCTCGGCCAGTAGAAAAAGTAATATATTACCAGATATCGTGATATCGTGAACCGATATAGTGTAACTAAAAAAATAAGGAGTATCCACTGAAACGAGATAAATCGATGAGGATGATTCAGCGGATTCTTTATTGAATAGATCATTTTTGTTGGATTGGCCATCAGGTAAGAGACTAGCGAAAGGAATTCCCAACATTACTACCGTTGCTCAAGAATGTATACTCTGTTCTGACGCATATAGTTATTCCGATTAGTTGATCTTTGGTATCGTAGATGTCGAAATTGTCCGAGTAATATTACTTTTAAACTATTTTTGAAACTTGGTGACATATGGATCTGTTTGTGCAATTTTTGCTCTAAAGAAAGACAGATTTTCCAATGCCAAGTAGCTATATGCAGAAAATTGTATGATCTTCGTTCAAAATGTCTGAAAATTATTATGCTATTCGATTGTTCGTTAAGAAAATATGACAAATGACTGCTTAAATTCATTACCAAGATAATTTCAAATATCGAGTTTTAGATACATATATTATTTTTTAATGACAGATTCTTTAACTAATTAGGAACTGATTTTTCGCGACCGAGGAAGTCAAGACATAGATCATTTTTGAGTTATGATCAAACATATTCAACAATACTGAAATTTACTAGATCAAAATATTTCGGTATATCAGGTCAAAATAATAATAATAATAATATAAAAATTAATAGATCTTACATTATACAAGGAAAATATTATTTCATTAGTTTATTCATTCTCGATATACATATGTACACACTCAGTGAGAAATGACTTATCGAATCGACATCAAATTGACACGATTTAATATAACTTCGATGGTTTCGACATCGATTTGATGTCAATTTAATGTCACTTCGATGTTCATTTCTCGCTGGGGTATATTTATACGTGTATATGTCAAAAAACAATAATTAATAAAAACTAATATTGCATGCAATTTAATTAGAAGGAAATTAGTGATTGCTAAATAATATTTAAAATTATTTAAGAGATGATCGGGAAAATATTAATTTACAGTTTCTAAACACTTAAATTTAAATTTCCTAAATGTTTAAATGTTTCGTAAACGGACTCGATGTACAATGACAAAATAAAGTCATAAGTGAAAAAATCATACATACAAATGATAAAAATGATTTCAAATGTCCTAAATAGATGCGTACAGTAACAGCAATGCAATAATATACTTAGCAATTACATCACGATTACATCTACGGCTGACACGATTTTAAATTTCACACGAGCCATTATTTCAATCGCATTGCTCGTAGTCGACATTCAATTCTCTCGCAGCTACAGTGAGTCGTTGCTTCGCCGGCCGGTTGTTCGCTCTTTCCACCTCTCATCGTCGATCTCACAAAAGGGAAACCATGGGAATTTCGTCTAATTATATTATTCATAATTAACCGGGACCGCACGGAACGGCGCGGCTCAACGTGGTCCTAACGATGCGAACAATGAATTATCACAGTTATCCGAATGTATGCTGCTCCGCGGTATAAAAAATCAGGATATACTTTGAGCTCATTTTTTTCGCGAGAACAATGCAAATTAAAAAGAAGTATTTGCGCGTCCTATCCTCTTTTAAAACTAAATTTACGTGCAAAAATATCTCAACGTAATCCACCAGAAAATATTGAATGCGTGCAATTTTCTGAAAATTTCGAGTTGATTAATGTATATTTTATTATTATTATAACTGACGTTTTTTTTTTTAATGAAATGAAAGAAATCTTGAAATATTTCCATAATGTTAGTTTAAAATTCCCAACAAACGTAATGACATATTAGTGACGTTAAATGATATATTAATGGTGCTAAATGATGTATATTAATATCTTATTACAATATGAAACACGTCATTAATACGACATTATTTTATGATCTTCCCATTAGATGTAAAAATCGTGTTTTGTCACCAACATTTAAACCGTCATTGATTCAGGTTTTTATTTACGTTGTATAAAAAGCTATTTATTCTCTATCCGTGTAATAAATATTATTTCCGTATATTTAAATTTTCCTTTTCTCGCGCGATTTGTCCAAATAATCGGATTTTAGGATATTGCAGATCGATTGATCGTTGGTTTTATTCGAATCGTCTGAGCTCGAATTCTCTCACTTCGGTCATATACATTCGTTCGAATCGTTCGTTCAAACTTTAATATTTACGTTACAGCGGTATTTGTCTGTCGACGGTTGAAGTAGCAGTAAAGTGAAACAGATAACGCACCTGTGCAGTCGTTTGCTTCAATGGACACGATTTGGTTAACGGATTCGAGATGTACGGTTCTGAAGATGAAAATACATGCGTTCTCTCATATTTGTACGAATCGCGACACATATTCGTTATGACCGACGTACAATTTATAACATCATTCTTGAACTATATAGAATTACCAAGATTAGAGTGCATTCTCCATGTAATAAAATTCTCTCATTAATTGCGATAATTTTTTTTCAACGAATATGGTGGTAGACTCTACTTTTGCTGTGTTTCTTTCTTTTCTATCTATGTACTACTAGAATCTCGGTACATACTTCTGTCATTGGAAAGGCAACAATATTATCACAAATAATATTATCGCGAAGTATTTTATACGTATTTATTATTTGCATTAGTATATTAAATAAAATACTTTTCAGCAATATTTTTTTGTTGAAAATTATTTTAAAGAACATATGATGTTCAAATACACTCTTGTCAAGCATTATGTGCAAAATTTATTGGAAATCAATCCACGCACATCCATCTTGATTTAATTGAAATTTCGAGGACTTCGATATTTTTGAGGAAAAGTTATTCTCGGAATCTTATTATTCTTTTGCACGTTTGTAAATTTATTGCCATCTGTATACACATAATAACAAGCAGAGTTTATTTAAATATCGTTGATTCACTCTGGAGATAATTAACGTCTATAAATACCGCTGCATTTGTTTTCACGATGAATGTGTTATCACCGACAATTGTTCGTAGATGCTTACGTATATCTCGCGAACTTATTTCCATCGAAAAGAGCGGTTTATGTGCGCATTTTAGGGTAGACTTACTCGCGACCAGGAAGCGGATTTCGACGGCATTTTTAACGACGTCTCGTAAACCACCGCGTCGATAAACGCGCTTCCAGTCGTAAAGAAATTACACCATATTATACGTGGGTTACACGCAAATTTCAAGCGGTGCGATAATAACGTCAGGCAATGAAAAAGTGAACGGTATCTTTAAATATCCTCACCTAAATACCGCGCGCCTGAAATAAATGTTGCGTGGAACGTTATCGTAATCAATTAAGATACGGAATCTAGTAGTAATTTCGACGATACACGACGGCACACTTCTTTAGGAGGAAAATATCGTCTCTAAGTGTGTCTGAATCGGAATAAACTGTTTTACATAAGTATATTGAATGAAGCGCTTTGCGATACATCTTAATACAGCTGTCGCAATTGCTTATAATTTTATGTCATTTTTTGCATCATTCATTCCGAGTCACCTGTAAATATAGGATTGCGAAAACCCACTCGTAAAACTGCGAAATGCGACACGAATGCCTACGGATATTTCATAAGTTTCTACGGTCTGTATCTTTCCAAACTGGTATCTACGAGAATTCCAATCATTATCGAGATTTATCCGATCCAATTCGCATTTTCAACTTTCTACGATGATACATTGACTTACAAAACCACTTTGCCAAGTGCAAAATTGCGATTTAATCCGCCACTCGCTCGTTCCACTTTAACGCAATGCCCTTCGATACGCCTCGGGAAAAGATTCGCCGAGATAAATCCTCCTCCTTTTCGTGCTTGTAAGAGCATGAACTATATATAGCGCGTTTTTCATTCACATTCGAAATAGTAACGAAGTACGTATGGAGTGTAATTGCTTTCTTTTCTGAGCTGGCTTGAGCGTAACATAGAAAAAAATAATACTTTTGCGCGGCGTTGGAGCGCGCATCGAATTTGGTATCGCACGCTCCATAAATCGAGGAAGAGTTTCTGAGCGAAAGTGCAACGCGATGTCCACTGAAAAAGATGTAATTTAATATCATTTCATCACGGACCACCGACCACTTTCCAACCGCTTAGCGTGCTGAGGAATTTAATGACAGTAGAAGGAGAAACCGAAGCATTTCAATTTTCACTTTGCTTAAAAAAAAATTTCAATGCACGGATAAACTTAATTTCCCTCTTAGCCCTGGGAAGGATTGATGGAACTATCCGAAAAGGTTTTCCATCGGAATAATTCCGTTTTCCCTAGAAAACACTACAGAAATCTAAGGAGTAACTGAACGATTCCGACCGGAAACTGTTTCAAATAGTTTCATGATACCTGTCTTGACCTTGTATTAAAAAAAGGAATGAAAGAGAGCGGAAATACTCATGTATCTAAGAAATTAATTGTACAAGTAAAATTCCGTTGTGCGCCATTATTTGATAATCATGTTAAGTTTTCGTTAATTACAAAATTTGTAGACGCAATCACGCAACGTAAATACGTACGAAACTTATTCGAGACGAAATATCGATCAAATAATGTATATAGAACAAATCAAAGTACGATACATCATATATGTACGCGAAACGACATTAATTGTCTGGAACGCAAAACAGGTATCGAGAGGCGAGACTCGCGCACTCGTAACGTTCGAAACTTTCACTCTACACGCTGCTTGAACGATATTATCTTTTCTTCTTTTCTTTTAAACGCGCGTAAGCGACCGTGGCGAGCGAGCGGGCGAATTGCGTGTAACTTTTTTACAGTGCTCGAAATATTCAGGTGTTCGTATACACACGCATACACACATACACACACATATACACACACCAAATTCGCATAATTCGAATTTCCATACCGAACCTTGAATTATTTAAATATTTCAGTACTGGAAATATATTCGAATTATAAAGTTGGATGACATAAAGTGATATTTATTCTATTTTTTTTTTAATGTAGAATCATTATTTTCGCTCGAATTTTTCTCGGCACTCAAATTATTCGAATAGTCGAATTTTCGCGAATCGATCGGGAAAATCAGTCGTTGCGATCAATCTGTTCGAACTTCAAATTCGAATGCTTCTACTTCGAACTGCTCGAACATTTTGTTTGAATATTTATTGATCAATATCGAATGAT